AGTTCTGCGAGTCTTTGTATGACCGTTTCCGTATGATCCGTTTTTTTGGCGAACGCTGCCAACAACCGTCTTAAATCTTCACTTCTTTCTGCCGTTCCTAATCCGAACTCTTTCGTGTATTTCGTTAGTTCGCTTTTTGGTGCCAGAAATACCCAGCTCGACATTACTCCGCTGGTGTCGGTTTATCTCTTGCAACCACTTTAACCTGCTCGGGCGCCACTGTGACGGTTCGTCGTTGTCGGGTGGCTCAGGGATGGCCAGGGTTCGTCACAAGAATTTGTTTGTGTCAGGCGTGGTTGCTGTAAGAGAGTTCCGACCCAGCCCAGAGTAGAAGTCGTGGGGAACTACTTAGTAATTGATTATAACTAGGTTTTATTTCAGTAAGTATCTTGACATTTGATTAACAACTAACGAATTCTCCGGTTTGGCGGGGTGCCGCCCTTACTGCCTTCGCTTCCTTCGTCCACTTAGAATACCTGGTATCGGGAGCCGTCCAGCCGCTCGAGAGGACCAGCACGGGTTGCCTGAAATGAGAATGGGGGCTTGGGGACCCTGAGGTCAGCCACGAGCGAGAGAGAGCTATTTAGTGCTTGGGGACCCGAAAGTCGACCGCAAGAGAGAGAATGTTGCTTGGGGACCCGGAAGTCAGCCACAAGAGAGAGAGAATGTTTTGCTTGGGGACCCTGAAGTCAGCCACAAGACAGAGAATTTGTTGCTTGGGGACCATGAAGTCAGCCGCAAGAGAGAGATAATGTTTTGCTTGGGGACCCTGAAGTCAGCCACAAGAGAGTTTTTTTTGCTTGGGGACCCTGAAGTCAGCCCCAAGAGAGAGAGAATGTTTTGCTTGGGGACCCTGAAGTCAGCCGCAAGAGAGAGAGAGAATGTTTAGCTTGGGGACCCTGAAGTCAGCCACAACAGAGAGAGAATTTGTTGCTTGGGGACCCTGAAGTCAACCACAAGAGAGAGAGAATTGCTTGGGGACCCTGAGGTCAGCCACAAGAGAGAGAGCTCAGCCGGTGAACCGTGCCGTAAGGAGGTGTGATCCTGAAATCAGACGTCTCCTAGGGATACCTTCAGGCCGGCAAGCCGAGAAGGTTGGAGGGAGGAAGAAGTACTACGGGAGCTAACTACGATGTATAAGCGGACTTAGATCCACCAAAAAATTACTTTGCTGCTTACCACCACTGGGGAGTTGCAGCTATAGGATATAGTCGGCCGATCCCGGCCGTTCCGACGGCGTGCAAAGGAAAGAAGGGTGTGTGCAAAGTTTCAATTCGATATATTTAAAACTGAGAGACTAGTTTGCGTAGAAACAGACAGACGGACATGCTTATATCAACACAGGAGGTGATTCTGATCAAGAATATTTATACTTTATAGGGTCGGAGATGTCTCCATTACTGCGTTGCACACTTTTGACCAAAATTATAATACCCTCTGCAAGGGTATAAAAATATGTTCTCTCAACGGTGGACTTATAAATAGGTGGACTGATTCAGGAATCAACGTTCATGTTTTATGTAGAACTCTTGTATGCATATATGTATATGTGGGATGGGGATATATTGATAGACGAGATTTCAGCGTAGAATTTCATCGTCATCGCAAACCACTTTCCATAATTTTCCATAAATGTGATCTAAATATCCATCACACTCTTCCACCCAAATTTCGGGACACAAAGTGTTTCGAGTTGGGATTGGAAACAAATGGAAGAAACAGTGTTTTACTGGATCGGCTGTTTTGAGCTGGATGTGGGTGGCGATGTGGATAAAGATTCTGTAAGCGTCAGTGGTTTATCAAATTACTAAGAAGCGAATGCACCTGTAAGCTCAAGATTTTCTTTACGCGATATTCAAGGCAGTGTATCTTCGTTTTCGGGTTCCAAACAAGAGGACTTCAATCACTGGCTGTCCGAATTCAGTGATGTTGCTGTTACGGTGGGCTGGGATAACTTGCAAACATTTATTTATGCTAAACAGCTACTGATTGGAGCAGCCAGGCCTTACATCAGAAGTATTACAGGAGTTAGGGGTTGGATCGAGCTAAAAGAAGCATTGAAACAAGAGTTTGGAAAAAAGTTATGTTTGGCGGAAATACATACGATTATGCGGCAGAGGCAGAAGCACCCAAAAGAGACATCGGGATAAACAAGCCGGTTAAGCTCGACAAAGAAAGCTTAGTTTCATATTTTGTAGATGGCATGTCAGATAGCAAAGTAAATAAGGCAGAACTGTATCGCACCAATTCCGTTAGGGAACTCAAGGACGAAATTTTTATTTACGAGAAGATGAAGTTTTAATAAAGAGGTGACAGGTAACAGAATCAGGGTAATTTTCAAAGAAAGTGCTTCAAATGTAATAGTGAGGGCCACATCGAAAAAGATTTCAAAGGCGAAGTAGTTTGCTACAACTGCAACAAGAAAGGACACATCTCGAAGCACTGTGATGAAAAGAAAACAAAAGTTTCCGTTAAGAACGAGTCTGCAAAACTGCTAGAAGCTGAAGCTGCGAAAGGCTTCATTTACAAGATGCTGAAAGTTAATGACGTGGAGTTTGTGACGCTGCGCGCACAAAAACAAGATGTATATAAAAAGAGACTAAAAAAGTTAAACGAAAAGAGCCTTTAATTCATATTCAAACTAAGAACGCGCGCGGGCCAACGATCGCGCGCGTAGGGGCACACTAGACCGAGAGAGATGGCCACACTTATACCGGCAAATCCCACACAGGCGGCGGGCACACTAGATCTCGCCCAGCCCTATATAAAGCGGACCACGGGCCATAGAAGGTCACTTAGCAGCCAACCGTCTAAGGGTACAGAGGCAACTCCCCAGTGGTGGTAAGCAGCGAAGTCATTTTTTGGTGGACTAGATCATTTGATCCAAGTCCGCTCATACATTGTAGTTAGCTCCCGTAGTACTTCCTCCTCCCCCTAACCTTCTCGGCTTGCCGGTCCGAAGATATCACTAGGAGACGTCTGATTTCAGGATCACACCTCCTTACGGCGCGGTTCACCGGCCGAACTCTCTGACTTCAGGGTCCCCAAGCAACACACTCTTCCTCTCTTGTGGCTGACTTCAGGGTCTCCCAAGCAACTCTCTCTCTCTCTTGTGGCTGACTTCAGGGTCCCCAAGCAACTCTCTCTCTCTCTTGTGGCTGACTTCAGGGTCCCCAAGCCCCCCATTCTCATTTCAGGCTCGCTACGTGGCAACCCACCCCGGGGTCGATTCTACCCGCGGCCGTAATCCCGTGCAGCTAGACAGCTCCCGATACCAGGCATTCGAAGTGTACGAAGGAAGCGAAGGCAGCAAGGGCGGCACCCCGCCAGTCCGGAGAACCCGTTAGTTATTAATCAAATGTCAAGATTCCTACTGAAATAAACCTAGTTATAATCAATTACTAAGTAATTCCCCACGACTTCTACTCTGGGCTGGGTCGGAACTCTCTTTCAGCAACCACGCCTGACAAATTCTTGTGACGAACCCTGGCCATCCCTGAGCAACCTGACAACGACAAACCGTCACAAGTTTGTAGCCGTGATTGACTCAGGATGCGATTTGTGCTTGATGGGAGAGGACATTTTCAGAAGTTTTGATAGCCTAAAGCTTAAACCTTTTTGGCATGAGTAAATTGTTCGACTTTGCATTAAACTTTAACCTTTTTAGAAAATAAGCAACTATATCCGATGATGAAAGGTCAGGGGCGAGCCGTAAACAAATATATCAATTAATTGTGGCACACGAACGCTTTTAACCATTTTTGGTACTTCAGAATTAGTGCAGACATTACCACTATCGGCGGGTTATCCTTCCTGACGGTAGTGACCCAGGAGAGAAAAGTCAGGACACTTGGGATTGTATATTTCTTTGATTAGTTTTGTTTTACTGGTCAGAGAAAGAGGAAGAGTATTAATTAATCTGTACACAACTTATTACAATGCACTTACAAAATGGGAAGTTGCCCAATATGTAAGTTGAATATCATTTCGGATTGTCTAATTCGTTATGGGCTGCACAAAATTACAATCTTAATGCTGCCAGGGATATTAAAACCATTTCAAACCCATTTGCATTCGTATGGACGTCGAGATCTCGGAATAAAATTTTGTATGAAAAGGATGTTACGTCCACCAATCGAAAAACTCTTTAGTGACCTGGTGAAGGCCAGCCATTGGGCTGTAGATGCCAAAACCGCAGTATCGAATTAAATTTTTTTTTTCAATTGTCGTTTTTATTATATTATTATACGTTTTATATATACGCCTAAATTTTTATACCCGTTACTCGTAGAGTAAAAGGGTATATTGTATTCGTGCAAAAGTATGTAACAGCTAGAAGGAAGCGTTTCCGACCCTATAAAGTATATATATTCTTGATCAGGATCACTAGCCGAGTCGATCTAGCCATGTCCGTCTGTCTGTCCGTCTGTCCGTCTGTCTGTCCGTATGAACGCTGAGATCTCGGAAACTATAAAAGCTAGAAGATTGGCATTTTGCATGTAGATTTTAGGAGTTCCTACGCAGCGCAAGTTTGTTTCAACGCCCCACGCCCCCTTTAACGCCCACAATCGCTTATATACGATTTTAAAAATTTAAATATTTCGGAAAAGTAAAAATGCAGTTTTATTGTGTTTATCAATACCTATCGAAATCGGACCATTCGTTAAAAAGTTATGCGTGATCAAAGTTTCTATCTCCATCTCCCTCGCACTCCCTTTACCTGAGTAACGGGTATCTGATAGTCGTGGCACCCGACTATAGCGTTCTCTCTTGTTTCATTTTCACTTTGCCCACTATTTTCTTAAGATTTTATTTTTAGTGCATTTAAATTAATGTTGTTATATTTTGATGATTTCCGTTTAGGCATCGTAAATCTAAAATACTACAGCAGAAACAAATTTAGCTCGACAAGCTAATCGTTTTTTCTTGTTCCACCTATTATTATAAAAGCTTGGTTTGGCCGCGTATCGAGTTTCCAGTTCTCCTGTATATTAAAAAGGTTTTATATTTTCAACATTGTTTATTTTTATTACAGTATATATGTACTAATTCTAAATTCCGTACTTATTACTTATTAACCTAATTTAAGTATTATTTACTTAAACTGTTAAGTATGTGATTGCTATCAACTTAATTCTAGTAATTTATTTATATATCCACTTAGGTATAGTATAACATTTATTATAAATACACATTGCTAACCCTTGCCACTATTTAGAGTTCAGCTAAGGCTAAGAACCTATCAGTCGACCAGTAATTTAATGAATATTGTGGACTTAAGATGAAATATATGTATCAGAATTGTTAAATTCAACATAACTTTTTTTGCAGCAAATAAAATACATTTTTAATTTATCAATATAATTAAAAATTCTTATTTATGAATAAACATAATATTCGTTGTGGGTTCCCTTCATTTTATTGGTTTGTGATATAATACCAACAACGTTTTTTGAAGGGGGTTTGATGACAAAGTTCCTAATAGCATTTGTTAGTTATCTATATTAATTAAAATTTGTGGCATCTGATTTTATATTTTGTTTATATTTCGTAATTATAATTTAAAACTGCACTGACTCAAACATACAAAAAAGTTCGAATTAATGAACATAAAAATAGTATTTTTTATATTTACCCCTACAAATGAAACAGTTAATATTGCAAAATCGTTTCAGTAAAAACAATAGTCTAAAACACAGAAAATGGAAGCATGGAAGAAATACACATTGCATAATTCATTGATTAAAATTAAATTTAAAACTAGAGTTAAAGAGTTGCACATAAACATAAATAAATTGTTTATGCATTAAAGCTTATTATAGTTATTTATTTATTGATAAGTTATCATAGTAAAACATATATAATATGTGTTAAACAGTCTTTTAAATTGGCAATGGCTATATACATTGTTATGATTATATTGTTAATACATTATTTCGTTTATATAAGCAAGACCACCAAACTATTGTAACACAGAATCTTTGTCTCCTTACAAGTGTTTTCGATTGAGCTCTTTAAACATATATATATATAAATATATATATATGGATTTATATATATACACATGACTAGAGCCCTATATAAAACGGCAATTTGTTTATCACAGCAATATATTTATTGAATTTCTGGCCTTGCTATTTAAGTTCGTGTACTTTTTCTTACATTTTTATATAATTCACCTACCTGACAGATGCATTAATATGGTTTTCTTTAAAACGTGATTGCCAATCTCTTTATTGGTTACATAAATATAGTGAGATATTTAAGTTTGAGTGTGCATAAGGGACCCAATCTAGATTACTAATTAGAAAGGTTAGGGGGTTAGACCTCCTTAAGGCTTCTCACAATTTTGAAAAAAAAGCTCTGAAGCCGAGTGGTCCGATATTTTGAATATATATTATATAATTATCCGAAGAGTTTTTTTTTTAATGTTCCAACAAATTGTAAAATTTAAACTTAACGTCATCTAAGAAATTTTATATTACTTCAAAAAATTGTATCCGATTTGGGGCGTGCCGAAACTAAAAATATAATGTTCTGAGTTTCATAAAATTATGGGCAAAATAAAGAGGCTTTGGATGATAACTAATCAACAAGGTTCTTAGTTTGCAACAGAACTATAATGTTTATAAGTGTAGATGTTTTATTTGTATCGTTTTAAAAATTAAAATTTATTTACTTGACCACGGTTGCATACCTTTTAGTGTAGGAATTTCCATCTACCCATTTAAAAAAACCTGCAGTCTAAGAGTTTGTATAAAAAGTTATTATATCTAAAATATTTCCTTATTACAAATAATGGCATAATAAATTTTTTGAAAATTATTTGTTTTTTAAAATATAAGTCTACATCAACATCTATACCATTCACTCTAATAAGGAAAAACTTTTTTCTTTTAACTTTTTCCACTTTTTCAACGCATTTTTACGGCTAAGGTTCACTTTCGAATAAATAAAAGGGATAGTACTTTGGCAATTGTCAGTTATTTTTCGATATAAATGTTCATCTTTAACAAAAACTTTGCTTAGGTTTTGGTTAGCTATGTTTATTTATCGTTATCGTTAAAAAAAACCCTCTTTATTCTACGGATAAACAATTAATTGTCGAGCTGAAAAGTATAAAATCACACTTCAACAAAATAGTTCCAGTTGTCTATCTTTATCGTAATCTAAAAGTAAGTATTTGTGAGTTCTTGCAAAGGTTTTTATATTTTATTTTAAAACACCTCCGATTTCACAAGTTTACAAATTTTGAATTTCTGTCCAGTTTTGGTGCGTTTTTCTATACACGCTGGTATTATTAGTGTCTTTATAAGACCGAAGTTATAATGGAGGTATACAATAATTGTTTTGTTTTATTGGTATATAAAAATGAATAACATTTTTAATCTAAATGTAATTGACACTGAAAATTTTAGGTCAATATTGTGTAAATCAAATGCGAGTTTTGGTAGTTAAATTTTAATTAAACTTTGTGCACAAGAGTTTTCTAGTCCTTGTAAGGAATATGAAGGAATATGGACAATGCTTTTAAATAATAGTAAAAACCCTAAGTCCTGTTACATTTTTTTAGTTATACCAGCGTGTTTCGCGACCCTAAAGTAGTATAAAAAGGACCTTATTTAAATCGTAACTTTTTTGTGTACGCTACTGCGTTGAATCGTTTTCCAATGCCTACATTTATTTGTAACAACATAAAAATCGAATAAGAACGAGGATCCTATAACTTTCAAAAGACCATTCGTTAAAAATTTGTTTTTTAAGAAAATTATATATAAGTCTTTGATAAAAATATAAAACTTTGTTTAAAATATCAACAATGATCTTGAAAATAAATGGACAACTTATTACATTTAATTTTGAAAAACAAGTTTTACTGTTGGAAGCGTAAGTGTTTAGTTTATTGATAACGTTTTAATACGAATATTTTTAATTTTTAGTAATTTTTTTGAAAAATAATATTTTATCGAAAGAGTTCGAATATATTTGATAGTGGTGCCTTAAAGTAAAAATCTCACTTATCAATTTATATATGCTGCATATTCCTGTCTTTTTCTCATTAGATTAAATAAGATTTCGATTTATTTTTTTTTACTGTATTTTCTTTGGAAGTTATGTACGTTCTATTATAAAACTTACACAGTTTAGAAAAAGCATGAACAGGATTGCCCATAATTGAATGAATAGTGTTAATAGAAAAGTATTGGATAATAATATTTTATAAATTTTGTACGCCCGAATATATGAACAGTTTTAGACAGTGAAGATATACGTTTCAGATACAGCTCTAATTAAATTTGTTGATGAATTAATTTATAAATTAAAAGCATCGTTGTTTGTTAGAATAGTCTTACATACATCTGTGAAGGAAGGAGACATTTTTGAAGGGCTTTTAATAACTTTTGATACCATCATTTTTTTATTATTTTTGTATTAAAAATATATTGTTTAAGGTATACAGAATGCAGTGCCGTTACATAAATAATAAGAAGTTTGATCTTACTTTATATATTTTATGATTTTTCAAATATTTGTTGTATGCTATGGATTTATATAAGGCTCTAGTTTTAATTTGAGTGTGCACATATTTTATTAAAAACCAATTTATAGGATGGCCCCAGACTTTTTGCTTATGAAAATCGAGATATGTATATTAAGTACAGATGTACAAATATAGGCTTACGTGGGGGTTTGTTTAAGTTTCCAGCAAACTTAAAATAACAAATTTTTTATTACTGACACATTATTAAAAACCATATTATTTATTAAAACAAAAACATTTACGAAAAGCCCAATACTCACATAAAACGTGCATTTGTAAATACCTATTTAATTGATTAAGAGTTTAATAACTGAATGAAGACTAGTATATAAGTGCGTATAATTAAAAGGGCGTTTAGTCCAAAGTAACTATTTAAATGGTACCTAATATTTATTACCAGAAAGTTAATAAGTAAAAGTTCTACGTCGTCAGAAGTTTAGCTTTACGTTAAATAGTAGCTATCAGGTCTTATGGTCAATAAATTCGTAAGCATTATCAGTACATTCTATGTGAAAACCTAATACCTATTTACATTTTTTTATGTATAATTATGTTTATAAGTATTATTTCACATTTTTTACAATACAAAATATAAAAAAATAATTATTTTTTTGATTGTGTGTTTCTAACCAAAACAGAAAATTTTAAATATTATAAATGTTTTACAAGACACATTTCGAATCAATCTATGCAAATAAAACAAAGGATTTAATAAAGTCGTGAGTCGTAATTAAGACATATTTCTCGCTTTCATCAGATCATCAGCTTTGGTTGCCAAATTGTCAATTTTGTGTTGTCGTAAAAACGTAATACACTTTGAAAGTTATAATAACATAAAGGATAAGATGTTATTTAGGGATCTGAGTTTGTTTTGGTTTAATTTGTTCAGAAACATACTTCGCCAACATTACCATTTTTGTTTTCGCTTACGTATATAAAATAATAAGAATGAAAAAGATTTCAGGGGAGTGCTGAGTGTTAAGGAAACTTTTTATTTTTCTTTTGAGTTATTACTTAAAAAAAATATATTTTTTGGAAAAAGTTGTCCAGCCTGCACGACTTTTCTTTACATATATACAAAAGTTTGAGGAAATACCAGATTCAACTTTAATTTTTTTGTAATTTTTATGTAAAATTTACCAAAGTAAACAAAATTGTAGTGTGAACAATAATTTTCCAAAAAAATGTTAACCAGGTGTAAATTGATTTTGCACCTAGGGTCATTAAAAATCAATAAACGAACAAAAATGTTGTTAGTTAATAACTTCCCGAGGTAACACTGTCGCATTTTAAAATAAAAACTACATAGTCATAAAGAACAGAGCACCACCCTGATGTATGTGGAAGTATTGCTTACAAATTTAAATTAAACCATACTATTGTTTGATGATTGTTTTAGGTTATTTTTGGAAATAATAGTTATAAAAATAAATTCTTTTGAATCTAACAAATTTATTAATCATATATAAACGGTATTTAGTCAATGTTGTATTTATAACCCTTTTAAGTTTTAAACTAAATAAATGGATCAATAAACGAGATGCAAAAGTGTAACCAAAGTAAGAGTTCTGCAGAATCGGTTGTTGGCTTTAGTGTATATTGTCTGTTTATTAACTGATCTATTTGGCATTTCCTAGCTTGGGATCTGTCTCTGTTTTATCTTAAGAAATAATTATGGTTGGCCTCTATTGGAGTTTTTGTAAGCGATTTTTGTGCACAAATTCTATGATATATGTTATGATCGTTATGAATAGGTTAATTATTAAAAAAAGAAATATTGCGGTGTAAATCTTGGCACAAGTATAAAAATGGCTTCTCGGTTGAGAAGATGGCAAAAGGATAACGAGAATAATAATTATTGCACCTTTAATAATTTAAAATATTTTCTCAAGCAACTATGAATATTTATATGTAAATTTCCAATGACATCTGTTAAGAAACGCTAATGACGCCAGTTTCGGAAGCGCCTGCGCTTGGAGTCTTGCTAGATGCATTTGATTGTGGATCAGATGCTTTATGACATTCACTGTTGCTTACGGCATGTGTACTTACTGACAGGATTGTCGACTCACTTCTTTTAGCCGTTTCCATATGGTCAGTTAACTGTTGATGGAAATGTTGACTAAAGTTGTTACTTAAAAGTGAGTGGTTCGCACGGTAGCCGTGGGCTGCAACATGATGAATAATGGACGTAGCGGCATGAGCAACAATAGTCTGAGTGTCACTAACTTCAATAGATTCAACATTTTGATATTCACGTCTTTTAGTTAACTGATTGATGCTTAGGGGATTATTAATATCCCGTGGATTAGCACCTATGGGGTTTCGGGAAATGTTTGGCATTGAAGAATGGTTTACACTACTATTGCCAATCGACGGCATTGAAAAAATTGCATTATTACAAACTGTGGAATGCGGTTGGAAAAATGGTTCAGGTTTACTGCTACCTGTGTTAACTACTGGAGGACTTAACCCCATTCCCAAGTGGCTAAACCGATTTCCAAGCATCATGGCTCTTTCATGAGCGGAATTTGTAGGCGGAACCGTCGTACCTGTAACTGGCGAAACTGTACTTGAAGTATTTGGGGTCGTGCTTATGCTACTAGTTGAACCACTACTCGATCCGGATGTAGATGTGGACCGTTGTTGAATTGTTGGCTGATCTGCACTGACGATCAAAAGCGCATTAGAGGTGGCAGGATATAAAACATTAGTTGCTGGGTTGGTATTCATATTAATTGGGCTTGCCAAGCTCATTGTCGTCGATGGACTCTGTAAACTGGACAATCCACTTAGACAGCCTGGGCTAGACATGGATTGATTTAAGGATTCGGTGTCATCATCTACTATTTTATTAGTTTCGTCAGCGCTTCCACAACTTCCGCCAAGTTTATCTTCATCGTAATCGTCATCGTCGTCATCACTTAGCTGGCTTTCGTGTTCATCAATACCGCTCCCGTCTTCGGTGGGTCCATTTTCGTTCATGGCTTCCATATAACGAATGCATTTCTTCTTGCGTCTATGTAAAATAAGAAACAGATAAATATAAGTTAAATAATAAAAATGTTAGCCAGAACGACTAAGAGTGCAAGTATAAAACATTCATCACACAAATATTTAGGTATTCATGCAACATGGGATCAAGCCCTTAGAAATTATAAACAGATTAACAGAAAATAAAATGATTTATTATTTTTGTAACTGCATGCCTAAATTATTATTTCAATTCAATATTAAACCTTAATTCATAACAAAAAATGTTTATCTGTCAAGATTACATTTGTAAGAGTTAAACATTTAAAATCTGCGAATAAAATAATTTTTGTGTAGAATAAAAAAAACGTACTAATTTGTATGTTTTCTTAGATATACTCATAAAAATTGCAATACAGAACTAATACTTGCAAAACATTTTAAAATGTTTAACTCAAATATTTTAATTGCATACAAAAAAAGAAATTTAAACGACAAAACACAAAAATAACAACATTTCGTGCGAATTTGATCAAATGTTAACTAAACTACACGCTTGCTTTGATTGTTTAAAATGACCTTCTTAAAAAAAACTCTGGGTTTCGACACATTAAAACATTCATTTTGTTAACAACCCGGAATTAAGATTTTTTTTTCTTTAAACCCAATTTTGTTCCGAAAACAAAATGTTATACTATTTTAATAAGAAAGTTTTTATTTTAATTTAATTATTTTTTTCTTTTTAAAATATGATATTTTTTTATTTGGCGTAAAAAAAGTTTTTGAAAAAGCTCAAGTGTCTTTTAAATCTGAGATTTTTACAATGTTTATAAACTTTCAAATTGAGATAAACAGGTTTTTAAAGAATTTTATTTCAACCAGCCGAACGTTTCACCAGCAGATTAATGAAACAGTTGTCGGGTTTGTATAAAAACCCTAGTTCTTTAAATCTTAAAACGTTCTTATCGGCCCTGTTACAGTTTTCCCTTCACTCTGTTAACTTAGGAAAAACAAACATTTCCGACAAGCATTGAAACTAATTATGTAAATATACTTTAAGAAAACTTTACCTGCAAATTTAATCAAATTCCTTGATATTTAAGCATTTTTGCACTGGACTGATTTGATCAAAATTAGATATTAATACAAATTACAAATTTGATATAAATAAAAAAATTGATTTAATAATAATTATTTTCTGTTTGCAACTTAGAATCGGATAGTTTGTGACTTTAATCATTTCCGATCGAATTAGGCCAACTTGACTGATTAAGGTTGTCCTGATACGCAGAAAAAAAATTATGTTTTTTGTATTGGTATAAACAATCAACAAGAACAAGGCTGGCCAAAATTGTATGAGCCACTTGGGTGGAAAACTAAGGCAAAGCATGGCCTTTTGTAGCCTTTTATTTCAAACCAAAAGTGAACAATCATGAAAAAGGGAAAAAATTTGAGTGAAAACTGGAAAAGGACTATAAATCACGAGAATATGCGAATACATTTAAAATAAATCTATTACGTATTTTCTATTAATTTTTCGATCATTCCAGTGACAGTTTTATAATATACTATTCCGACCTCGGCAATTACTAACTGTAATAAATAAGACTTTTGGTAAAGTTTCGTACAATTAGTTATGTATTGATAGACAAGGTCGACTTGGGTGATGGTCTTGATAGAATCCTGAAGAGAACAAAGTTGTTTTATAAGTTTCCGAACTATTTTTTCAGTCCATTTTCATTTGGTGACACCTGTATTGGAAAGGTACATCGTTTTTGACGTTCCCTCCAAATTGCATGACACAAGGAATAATGGACGTTAAGTTAAAGCGTTATTTTGGCAGTATGTTTTTTTCATGCTGCCTCCAAATCAGCATACCACCCATTAATTGATAAGCGAACGGTAAAAAGGGTGCCAAAATGTCGATCGATGAGATTATAATGCAACAAAGACAACGATATTCTGGTTAAATACAACTCATAGCACTAATATTAAATTACCAATTAATTTTTTCGACCGGTAGAACGTAATCTTTGTTAATAAGCCCCTTCGAATTTTAAAATTCTCCAAACGAGATTTATTGGTAATTTCAACTGTGTATTCGTCCTACATTTTGGAACAAAATCAATTAGTGAGTTTTGAAAAAATTATAACATATTTAAAACATTCTCTTTCATTTTTGCACTGATGACAAAGTATCATGAGGAGGAGTCAATGAATGATGTACCTCCAACGAAGGTACTCACCAAAGGTGGCTTCAGCAGAATATGCCCCATCAAAAAAAAAATATTTTATAATCATATTATTATGTTTATATATACAAAGTATGTCTCAAATTCATTATATCCTTTTACTGCGTTGCAAATTTCAAACTAAAAAAGGAAAGGAAGTAAACTTCGGCAAGCCGAATTCATTACTAAAAACAAGAAAGAAAAGCTAACTTCGGACGGACCCGAAGTTGATATACCCTTGCAGAATATTCTGTAAATTATATTCTTCAAAATTATTTATATGATGTATTCTTAATACTCATAAAAAGTCCCAACTTCCTAACTTTACAAACACCAACGTTATGGCTTTTCCGATCGTTCAGTTATATGGCAGCTATATGATATAGTCGCCCGATCCGGCTCGTTCCGACTTATATACTACCTGCAATAGAAAGACAACTTATGGGAAAGTTTCAAGCAGATAGCTTTAAAACTGAGGGACTAGTTTGCGTAGAAACAGACGGACGGACAGACGGACATGGCTATATCAACTCAGGAGGTGATCCTGATCAAGAATATATATACTTTATAGGGTCGGAAATGTCTCCTTCACTGCGTTGCACACTTTTGACCAAAATTATAATACTCTCTGCAAGGGTATAAAAAAAGACAAGTGTATAAGCGTAAGGAAAATATTTAAAATTATTTTAAAAAGGCTTGTGTGCCTGTAAAGTTTTCTGTGGCAATTCTTTGTGTTAACAAAAACAAAATTTTTTCTTTAATTCAAAATGTTTTCAAACTGATGCTTTAAAGGAATTTATAAACTCCAGCTCAAAACTAAATACTTGCATTCTTGTATATTTTCAATTACCAAAATTTGTATGACAAGAGAGAGGTATAATCTATCAACAATAGATATGAAGAAAATATTGGTTAAATTTACGATTTAATATTAAATTTAATTGTGATAGATATAATTATAGGTTTAATTATAGGGTTACTGATTTGTTTTAATAATATATGAACAAAAAATGTTAAACTTCAACAGGATGACATTCTTAAATTTTTTTTAAGTATATTTAAGCGACACAAAAATAAAGCAAAATCACATCGAAGGTCAAAAAATATTTTATATAACAATAAGATATCGCAGCGCAGTTCATAGCACTAAGTAAAGTACAACAATGCAAATCACTAAAAATAATAATACAAAAACGATTTTTTTTTATATTTTGTACATCGCACACAACAAGAACAAACAACAACGACCTTATTCAAAACGGATATCGGGGTTTCAAAAAATATATATATTTTTAAAAGTTTCTTATTTAAATTCCAAACATGAAAATTGAAATATTTTAAAAATATATTATTTTATAATAAGGGTTAAGCTTGATTAAATTTTCTTTTAGAGCCGATTTCTTAACGTACACTAATTTGTCAACATGGGTATTAGCCTTAAAAAATAGTAATTTTTCTGTTTAAAACGTCCTGAATGAATACTATGTTGAAAACAGATTATAACTATTGAATAAATAAAAGAAAAGTAAATACAGTTAATATTAATATTTGAAAATACATGTTAAATTGTTTATACTAAATCAAGTTATCGATACTCGATTGTTTTCAAATTAAGTAGGTATAATAAAATTTTGACGACCAGCAGTAAAAAAAAACCCAGTTTTTTGTTCACCGAAAATCACCGTTACTCTATTAACCAATTTAAAAAGAATGGGTCCGAATATAAAACAATTTCACAATGTCACAAGAATCTGCATGGTTAATCCCAACTCTCTAGCTCTCTTATTTTCAAACATATATCTCTTTTTTTCCACGAACATAATATTACATTTTTATACCCGTTACTCGTAGAGTAAAAGGGTATATTGTATTCGTGCAAAAGTATGTAACAGCTAGAAGGAAGCGTTTCCGACCCTATAAAGTATATATATTCTTGATCAGGGTCACTAGCCGAGTCGATATAGCCATGTCTGTCTGTCCGTCTGTCTGTCCGTCTGTCTGTCCGTCTGTCTGTCCGTCTGTCTGTCCGTCTGTCTGTCCGTCTGTCTGTCCGTATGAACGCTGAGATCTCGGAAACTATAAAAGCTAGAAGATTGGCATTTTGCATGCATATTCTAGGAGTTCCTACGCAGCGCAAGTTTGTTTCAAAAAGGTGCCACGCCCCCTTTAACGCCCACAATCGCTTATATACGATTTTTAAAATTTTAATATTTCGGAAAAGTAAAAATGCAGTTTTATTGTGTTTATCAATACCTATCGAAATGTAGAAGAAATTTTTCAAATCGGACCATTCGTTAAAAAGTTCTCTCTTGTTCTATGTAATACCGTGTCCGATCCTTGAAAGTGCATCATCAAAATTTGAGTCGGTATAGCTTTGAACTTATGTTTTCATAAGCATATTCGACCAAGATCCTCTCACAACCTACCACAAAACAGCAGAATTGTGTATACAAAATTGTTATACCACTGACAATTTAAATAGCAACATAGTATATTTGATTAAGCAACACCTAATTAATTTTAGAAAATTCTTTAACGCTTTTTAAAATTATTTGTTGTAAACAAAAGGCAGCCACGCAATTCATTTTTTAAGGGTAAGGGTTTGGATGGACCATTCTTAAAAATTGATCATAACTATTTTTACATAAAAATCAGGATAGGTTAATTTCATGTAACGTATATATGTATATTCATATATTCGGAAAGTGCCAGGTAAGATGACTATATCATATAGCTTTTAAGGCTGCTTATATTTAAATGAATTACAAATTATAACTTCATTGTTTTTGAACATATATCCTAAAATAGTCATTTT